AGTCTCGTCTGTCGCCCAGGCTGGAGTGCAGTGGTCGGGATCTCAGCTCACTGGCAAGCCTCGCCCATCCCGGGTTTAAGCAATTCTCCTGCCTCAGCCTCCCGAGGTAGTGGACTACACAGGCCTGCCACCTTTCGCCCGTCTAGTTTTTGTATTTTTAGTGAGACGGGGTTTCATCGGTTTTAGCCAGGATGGTCTCGATCTCCTGACCTCATGATCCGCCCGTCTCGGCCTCCCAAAGTGCTGGGATTACAGGCTTGAGCCACCGCGCCCAGCCCCTATCATTTTTTATTGACAAAATAATAAGCTATAATTTTTATTAAAATGGAAAATTCTCAGTACATCATTAAGTGAAAATGAAAGGTTACAACATAATTATGTGCAGTTTGTTTGGCATTAGTTGTTACCTTTGGTAGGATTACAGGTGATTTTTCTCCTTTTTCAGTGTCTTTTACACATTTACTAAAGTTTTTCTAATTTCTTACAATAATTATGTAATTAGGGAAAATGCCATTAAAATATATGCTTATAGCTAACTCTAGGCTTGCTTTAGAGCTTGGGTATTATGTAACCATGATGCGAATGACTTTGGTACAAATCCAAGTAACACTTCAACACATTTGTAAGGAATTATAATCAACAAGTCACCATTTCCCTGGAAACTTAGTAATAAAATGTTAAAGACATTAGTTTATCAAAAGAATTTATTAGAAAATATTACACACTACATACATATTTATTTAAGAGTATAATTTCAGTAGACAGCACTCCAACTTCATAATAAAAACAATATCTCATGGACCCTGGGGCAATCACTGTGCTTCTGAAGCTACATCTTTTGGATGGAACATTCAAGCAGTATACACTGTGGCCATTTAAAGGAAGGTAAGAGAAAAAAATGTGGTAATTACCAAAACAAATTTTAAAAAAGCACAAAACTTTTAGAATGTTAATGGATAACTACTATTAGTCTCAAAATTCTAGGCATTTCTATAAAACATCGGTCAATGTGACTAGTAAATGAAAGGGACCAAGGTTTCAAAGATCAAGTCAATACTGAACCTTGATAAATAACAAGAGGAAATGTAACTCCACAAAATGTTTCTGATTAAGTTTGTGCCCATGCAAAATTAACATAAATTTCTTAAAGAATGAGGAATGTTAAAGCAATGTATTTTTTCAACATAAAGCATGCATTTTCTAATACATTCTTAAACATTTCAAAATTTTAAAAGTTTGAATTCTAATCAAATAACACTCTTCATTAGCTATTAATGCAGTCTAACCAGTGCCCCAATCAGATATGGAACACACACTTGTTATTGTCATGGAAATAATTCATGGGAGTGCTACTAAAGATATATGAGACTTCAACTCTTGACCACACCACTTTTGCTCCAAAACTTTAGAACTTGTTTGCAAAAGCTAAATGGTATAAAGCACATTTTAAAATGTCACCCAATTCTCAAATGTCACTGAAAGAAAATGCAGGAAAAGTATGTATTGTGTGATTAATCAACCTAGAAACAGCAATTTGCTGCAAAAATTTCAAAGTATGAACTAGCCTTAACTCAAAATACTTTGAACATTCACAAAATTGTTTGTAGAGTTCTAACCTAAAACAACTAAGGAGGTGTGCCTTGATATTCTGAAACACTGTCTTAATACTTTATTAGAAGAAATACACTTGAAATTTCTTTATCATAATCTAAATGCAAACTTTAAAAATATATACCAGTAGAATACCATATTACAAATGCCCAGAAATGTAGAATGAAGGTCAAAAACTGCTTGGAAATATTTTTATGATTACACTCATAACTTAACAAAGCTTATGAACTAGCACAATCATTATGGGGCCAACATTTCAAGATATTTTGCCTATCAAAGCTAGCACCAGGAAAAGTATTATGCACGTAAAATTGAGAAACAGATAATCCTTACTTTAGAAAAGCACAGTTCTACAGAGTATTGCTCTGGCTAGTTTAGCTAGTAAAAGGGTCAGTTTATCTCATGGAGGCATGTATCTCCTTGGATCCATTAACTTATCTGAAGAACTTTCCAGGTACTTGGTATGTACTGAAAATTCCTACTGGAATCAGAGTTTATCATGGAGAAAATGCATTGTTCTTTCAAGATGCCAGTTAAAATAATGGCACGATAAACATTTTAAACTTACCTTTTATAAAAACTGAGATATTCTAGTACTAAAAAGAGGAAAACAAACAAACAAAAAAACAAAACAAAAAAACAAATCCCTAGTCCCTGAAAGGCTAACCAAGACTCCATTATTCAATTTTCCTCTGCATTTCTAAAACACAGGTTTCATTGGCTAGAATTTTAGAATTCTGCAACATGGCTAATGGCTACCACCTGATCACCAAATTAACACTTCATTCATTGTAACAAGTGTGAAAATAATTTCATCAGTGATTAAACAACGACTTTATGCCAGTGCCATGAGTCTTGTAATTCTTAGTCCCAAGGAAGGGAGGATAACAGCTTAATAGCAATTCTCAAATTGGCACAAATAATTTATCATCTGCAATGGGTAGAAGAAGATACTACGAAAGAACATAATTTCTACAAAGTCAACACTTTTTTTTTTGAGACGGAGATTTGCTCCTGTTGCCCAGGCTGAAGTGCAATGGCACGGTCTCGGCTCACTGCAACTTCTGCCTCCTGGGTTCAACTGATTCTCCTGCCTCAGCCTCCTGAATAGCAGGGATTACAGGCATGCACCAACACGCCTGGCTAATTTTTGTATTTTTAGTAGAGACGGGGTTTCACCATGTTAGCCAGGCTGGTCTCGATGATCTAACCTCAGGTGATCCACCCGCCTCGGCCTCCCAAAATGCTGGGATTATAGGCGTGAGCCATCATGCCCGGCCGAAAGTCAACAATTTTTCCAAATCTTTTTCTTCAAAGTCTTCAACAAAGACTTTGAACTGCCAAAGTTGTAATCTAGTAAGTCAAACTGCTTATCTCAATTCAGGGTAAAAAAAGGCACAAAAGAAAAACAAGCAGCATAACCTTTATTTGGTCATACAATAGGTGAAGAGTGTCTCAATGTTTTGAACACTAAATTTTACTCATGTGATAATTTTTTTCTATCTAGGCAATTTATTCAGATATGTACTTTAAAAATACACATTAGGAACTCTGCAACTGATATGTTCTATTTAATATTAGAAACATTTTTCATGGTAATACATTATTTAACTTTCTATAATTAGAGGGAAAAAATCAATCATAAAGATCATACTTTATATTTTAACCTGACAGAATAAATGCATTTTATATATATATCTCTTTGAAAACCAGTGCACTTAGAAGTTTCTAATTTATGCACTCCATTGCTCTAATCAAAAAGCTATACATCTTTCAGTATCCACACTATAACACAGTCCTAGTAAAGATGCACATTCCTTTCAACACTTTACTTTCCCTTGAATTTTGTGGGGGAGGTTGGAGGGGAAGGAAGGATACAGAAGTTGCAGTGCAGACCTATATTTATTTAGAACAAAACATCATATCCTATGTTAAAAAAATAATTTTATCAAAACCAAATTTCAATCACAGTTATGTATGATTTTCAGTTAATGGTACATGTTGAAATTGCACTTTGCAGATATCCTGATAATGTCTTTGACAGCGTTCCCCATTTCAGCCTATGTTTTTTTCAGTAGACACAGGTTCTTCCAGAGTTTTCTTTTGGCTCCCCTTCCGTGAATATTTGTATTTGTCTACATAGGCTTTAACCAGATTTGCCACTTTAGTAGAATTTACTTCTCCACTCTTACTATGACAAACCTAAGAAAAAAGGGGTGGGGGGTAAACTTTTTTCATGCTTAAAGGGATTAAAGCCAAAATAGAAAGCTTTGTGAAAAACAACCCCAAAGAGATAACCAGACTTATTTTCATGTTTCATTATCTCATACAAACTAGTCAAAAGGCAAAAAAGTAGACAGGAATTAGTAGGAGCTAGCTTTTATTATTTTAATTAAACTTCAGCATTCATTTATTAAAACAGAAGTGGTTCAAAACAATGTGCACATACTCCACTAAAGGCATAACTTACTTTATCTACTGCTTTCCGTACAATTTCTTTATATTCTTCCTTGGTGATATCTTTATTTTGGTAAAATGGCTTAATGGCCAATTTTACCTCTTGTGCTGCTTTTTCTTGAATTTGCAATTTCTGATGAGAAGAAAATGTATAATTTATTATTTACCAGTCATATGCTCTCACGAAATTTCAAACAAGAAATTGAAAATACTTCACATTTACAATAAGAGACTCTCCAACTATTAACGTGACAAATACAAAACAGTTTATTTACTAAAACATATCAACCATTTCTAAAAACAATTATAAAGTATTACCAGTAATTTACTGGACATCAACTCATCTAGAGAGAATCCTTCAAATAATACTGGCATTTAGACTGCCAATAAGAAATTCCCTTCACCACTCATACAATAAAAAGCTGATATTTTTCACCTTTATCATATACAGAATTATGGAGGTTGCTCTCAACCTTGAACTTGCCTTGTCTGTCTTCGAGCTATCTGCGCTGGCTTCCACTGTAACACTTACTTTGCTTTCTGCCAATTTTACAGCAGCAATAGAGGCTTTGCTGTGACTTGATGACGAAGTATTACCAGAACTTGGTCCCTGAACCGTTCCCGTATTTCCTGGGGCTGCTGTTGGAGCAGGCAAAACTGGTGTACTCATGTTATTACTTACATGAGAAGAACTAGGAATACCCTGTGTTAAAGAGTTATCATCAGTTAATGAATTACTTGTACTCAATAGAAGTCTTTTAGTGATGTATTAGAAATAACATTAAAAAACACAAAGCAAACCAACCTTAGTACTAAAGAAAAATGCATATTTCAGGTAATTATATCTAAAGGGCCCTTTAAAGAAAAATGATTAACACTCTTAAACAGGGCCTTATTTAGATATGTCAAGATGAGTTTTAAATTATATATATGGATTGTAACATTCTGACAGCAACACTAAAAACAAGGAGGAGAAGAGCTTTTAAAGAACTGTATCTTTCCTGCAAGGATCTTCAGGAATATTAATGAAAATAAGTGCCCCCACTTTAAAGATTGGAAAAAATAAGGCAGTAAAATCAAATGGCTTGTAGTAAGTTGATAGGAGAAAAAGATTAAGATACAAAATACTAAAATCCAATTTCCCTATTCTTTCAACTCTATCGTACTGTCAGGGTTCTACTTTTATTTATTTATTTATTTATTTTTTTGAGACGAAGTCTCACTCTCTCCCACGCTAGAGTTCAGTGGCGCAATCTTGGCTCAATGCAATCTCTGACTACTGGTTCAAGTGATTCTCAAGCCTCAGCCTCCAAGTAGTTGGGATTACAGGCATGCATCACCACGCCTGGCTAATTTTTGTATATATATTTTTTTCGAGACAGAGTCTTGTTCGGTCACCCAGGCTGGAGTGCAGTGGCACGATCTCACCTCACTGCACCCTCCACCTCCTGAGTTCAAGCAATTCTCCAGCCTCAGCTTCCTGAGTAGCTGGGATTACAGGTGCCCGCCACCACACCCAGCTAATTTTTGTATTTTTAGTAGAGGCAGGGTTTCACCATGTTGGCCAGGCTGATCCTGACCTCGTGATCCGTCCACCTTGGCCTCCCAAAGTGCTGGGATTACAGGCGTGAGCCACCGTGCCTGGCCTAATTTTTGTATTTTTGGTAGAGATGGGGTTTCACCATGTTGGCCAAGCTGGTCACGAACTCCTGACTTCAACTGATCCACCTGCCTTGGCCTCCCAACGTGCTGGGATAACAGGTGTGAGCCACCGTGCCCGCCTAGGATTCTAAAATTTTTTAAAGGCAGTCATAAAATTATAAGCAACACAATGTTTGCAAATTATTCAAATTTTCTATGTCTCACAGAGGCACTTCTCCTTTCTTTTCAGCATGATAAATTCATGAAAATGAAACACAGATGGTAATGGATAATGAACAGCTTTATCTAGTGTTTGTCTGAACAAGACAATAAAAACTTCATCATAGTACTTAATCACTAATTCCCACCGCCCCATACACTCCCCATAAACAATGCAAAACAGCAGAAAAATGTAAAGCGCCCACCACTTGATCCTAATTTGGTTTATAATTTGGTTTACTTAATATGAAAAAAAAAATCCTGTTCAGATATAAGTAACAGCATATATGTAGCTTGGATTTGGTAATAAGTATTTAATTAATTTTCTAATTTGGGAGTTGGGGGGTTTTGAGAAGGATAGTGAAAGAGGGACTATGAAGGTTTACCATAACTAAAATCAAATGAACAAATTGTTTTTGAATGCCAGGATGCCTTTTTTTGAACATCTGTCCTGAACAGCTAAATGTTTACAATGGCTATATTGATTAAACTTGAATTGCTAAAAACATACCTGCAATTGCTTTCCATCTGGTTGTGAAGTAATGTAGTTGACTTGTTGGGATGGTGGGGGAGGAGGTGGTGGTGGTGGTAATCCCTGAGATACACCGGTAGGAGCGGCTACCTGCATGAGGGGCACTCCTGTGTGGAGATGCAAGGGTAGCTGAGGATGAACATTAAATGGATTGCGCTGGATGTTCATCAAAGGAGTATGAACACCCACTGGATATGGGAAGATATTCATAGGCTGGTGTTGTGCATTCATTTGTTGCTGCATTACATTCATTTGTGGTTGCATCATATTTATAGGTAGCTGAGAACCATCAACTTGCTGGTTTGTTTGGTCTTTTAGGCTAGAATCTATCAAAAGAAAAAAAGCTTGTGAAAAAAATCACGTTATAAATCTCTATAGACAGAGAAACAACCACTGGTTACAGTAAAATTAAATAGCAATTAATAGGCTCAGTATAACAGTACCAATCTCCAACTGCTTAATTTAATCCTATCATTTCTAAATAATGTGAACTGATTTTCTAACTGAAAGAAAACATTTGGCCAGGCGCGGTGGTGCAAGCTTGTAATCCCAGCACTTTGGGAGGCTGAGGCAGGCGGATCACCTGAGGTCAGGAGTTTGAGAGCAGCCTGGCCAACATGGTGAAACCCCATCTCTACTAAAAAATTACAAAAATTAGCTAGGTGTGGTGGTGGGCGCCTGTAATCCCAGCTACTCGGGAGGCTGGAGAATCGCTGGAGCCCAGGGGGTGAAGGCTGCAGTGAGCAGAGATCATGCCATTGCACTCTAGCCTGGGCAAAAAAAGAGAAACTCCACCTCAAAAAACAAAACAAACATTCATCTGAAAATATGTTTTAAGAGTAAGTTCATGCAAAACATACATCAACAATCAGTAGCTCAAGAAACTGACTAGTTAAAAAAATCACATAAAATTTAGTTACTAAATTATAAGATTATTCAATTTTTATATCTTCAACAGCCTTTTTCTTGCAATGTTCTTAACAAGAAAAAAAAAGGAAATATAAATCTTTACTATTAAAACAATGGCTTATTTTATTTGTATGAGAACAATTATCAAAAAAATTAAAAGTATACATATCTGAAATCAACAAATTAGAGGTTAAATCCTGCACAGGAATATCCCAAACTCTTCTATTGTAGCAAACAGTGCTGAAGATATTTGTCTTTGGCAAGGTCTGGAGCAGAGGTAGCGTTAATAATATACTTATGTAGATAAATGTGCGTGTATATACATTTATATAATGCAAAGTGACCTGCAAACAACTAGGGTTCAGCTTGTTATAAAAACTACAAATAAGGATCATTTCAACTCATACAAATAACATATTAAATTTATAATTATTCAAATAAAACAGTATCAATAAACCAACAAGAATACATTACCCTGTCCAGATGTTTCCTCCTCTTGTTTCATCCATCCAGACTGTGGACCTGTAGAATTTCTGCCTCGTCGCGAGTAGTAGTTTTGTACATCTGCTGGCAAAGTCTTTCTCACAGCCCAGCTAGATGCAGATGTCCATCCAGATCTATCTGCTGGTGTATCAAATGAGAACTCCTGTTCACTTTTCCGCTTATAGGATTGCTGTTCCACAAACTTGAAAGATTCACTCCCTGAACTGTTTGAATTCCCTGAGAGTGGTTTTCGATTTTGCCACCTATTTTCATTCTGATCTTTATAGGCAAAACTACTTCTGTAAGTGCCTCTGCCACGGTTGCCTCTGCCTCTACCACGGTTAGATACCCAACCAGAACCAAAGTTTTTATTCCAAGAATTTCCTGAATTTTCATTTCTATTTTCTTCCCAGTGAGACTCTTTCAACTTTTCTGGATTTCTGGTTCTTGGATCAGGCCCAGAGTTTATTTTTTCTGTTATCCAACTGGGACAGTCATTTCTATGTTTGTCAGCAGAATTTGGATCATCAGCATCTAGATGGATGTCATTTTTTTCTTTTCTTGTATTTTCATTCTGTTTCTCTGGGTCATTCTTTCTGTACCGATCATTTCCTCGTGGACATCTCCAACCATCATTTGCCCATCTTCCCTTCCACCGGGGAGAGTAACTATCTCTGTCAATTCTACCAAACGATGAACTCTTACTTTTTGCTCTACATCTTGAGGGGGACCTAGAATGAGATCTGGACCTAGACCACTTTCTGGTTCTCCTCTCTCTCTCTCTCCTCTGCCCATCTCTATCACTTTCTCGTTCTCTGCTCTGGGACCTGGATTTTTCTCCTGGGGAGGAATCTTTCACTCTTGGCTGAGATCTTTTGTTCTCTCTAGAAGTTTCTCCTCTTGGTGACAGTGATTCAGATCTTCTGCTTTCCCTAGTAGTATCCCTTTTTGGAGACCGAGACTGAGATTGTCTCCTTTCTCTTGCAATATCTTTTTTTGGGGACTGAGAACGGGATTTTTTCCGGCCTCTGGCTGACTCATTCTTAGGAGATGGTGATTGAGACTTCCTGCTTTCTTTCCCAGTTTCTCTTCTGGGAGATGGAGACTGGGGCCGCTTCTTTTCTTGTGGGGTGTCTTTGTTGGGAGACCAAGTTGTAGATGGAGAATGAAATCTAGATCTTCGAGTACGAGGCTTTCTGGCTTTATCTATGGTATCTTTTGGGCTTTCAGATGGTTGAGAAACAGTTTCAACCTTTTCATCTGCAAGATCAGAAGATGGCATATTATTTTCGGAACTGTGTGTCACAGAATTTTCATTCATTTGCTTAAGATCAGCATTTACAGATGGTTCAACTTCACATTCATTTTGGTCACTGCAAAATGAATCACACTCCATAGGTATCATTTCATTGTTGTCCTCACTAAAATGCTTCTGAATCTGTTCAATGTGTGTTTTAGGCAACTCTGTAGATCTAGGATGTTCGGTCAGCGATTCATTCTTTTCTTCTAAAGATTTTTCCAATTTGGTGTTCATAAGATTATTTTTTAATAAATTATTTTCAGAGTCTTGAACATTATTGAAATCTTCATTCCCAAAAGTATCACATGTTGCAATTATTTCTACATCTTCAGTTTCAACATGCCCAAGCAATTGAACCTCTGGGCTCTCAATAGATTGTCTGTCCACCGTTTGTATAATTTCACCCTCAGAAGATTTTAACTTGGGGCTCTCTATAAGCTCCTCTGTTTTTAGTGTAGAATCTTTATGTTCAGTAACTTCTACTATGGAACTCTCTGTCATTTTTTCTTCATTAACCACTGACTCTACATTCTCAGATAGCTCACTTAGGGGACTAGATACAGGTTGGTGCACTTTGCTTTCAGATGTTAAACATGTAGGAAAATCATTTGGAAGATGAACTGTACATATATCTGCCTTTACCTCTGATTCTGAAAGTCCAGATATCGGGTCTTGCTTTTCCAATGGATCACCTCCTTTTTCAAAAATATTTTTAGAAGTCTCACTTTCCAAACACAAAACTTTAGCCTCTATACCTGTATTCTCAAGTTTTTTAACTTCCCCTTCCTCACCAACTAGCATAGGAGGATCCTGAGCACAAGACTCAGAAGATGAAGATTCTACTCTTTCCTCTGTATCATGATTTGCAGTATGCTTCTTACTTTCTTCTATTTGCTCATTGCAACTTTTCAAGCAATCAGCAGACTGGTTTTCTACATGTGTCTGCACAGTACAAATGTTACTACTGTCTACATCTGATGGGTGCTCTTTTTCTAACACAGGTGATGTGTCAGATTCTGCTGTTTCTTCATCTACTGAATCATTGGAAGATGATTTTTCAGGGGCAGCTACAGAGCTCCGAAGTTTCTTTTTCAGTAAAGGTGGTTTTCTTCCTCTTCTTACAGACTTCCGTTTTGGAGCCTGTCTTGTTTGCTTTTCTGACTCAGCTGAAGAGGGAGCACTTAAAGATGGATTACTGTTACCTGGGGCATCACACCCAGAATTGTTTGATATTGGGGATCTCTGAGACTGACTGGCTGTTTCGGCTCTTGTGTTACGTGTAGACCTCCTTGTAGGAGTTGTCATTGCAGGTTTCCGTCTTGATCCTCTGGTATTTGATGTACCAGAAGTTTGCTTCTTTTCTTCCCCTTCTTTAGGATGTGCTAATGCATATCCTTTGCAAGAAGTACCTAATATTTTTTTAAAAAAATAAAGGGTAAAAAATATGTGTTTTAAGAGACAGTAATTTGGCTTTAGCTAATTTTAGCATAAAACAGTCTGCAACAGAGTGAAACAAAATACTTACAAATAAAACTATTAATAAATGCACAGCTACTAACCTCTGAGTAATATGAGGTATTCATCAACTTTCTTAATGACACTGAAATAAGTTATAACTAGATTTGGTCCAAGTGGGCAATTTTATAGAGAAAAAAAAGGAAAAGAACTTTTGGTCTTGTAACTGCTACTTGCTTAATTTTTTTTTTTTTTTCAGAGACAGGGTCTCACTCTGTCACCCAGGCTGGAGTGCAATGGTGTGATCACTGGAGTAATCATCGCTCACAGAAGCCTCAACCTCCCAGGCTCAAGTGATCCTCCCGCCTCAGCCTCCTGGGTAGCTGGGACTACAGGCATGCGCTACCATGTCCAGCTATTTTGTATTTTTAATAGAGACAGGGTTTCGCCATGTTGCCCAAGCTGAAATCAAGTGATCTGCCTGCCTCGGCCTCCCAAAAGTGCTGGGAATACAGGCGTGAGCTACTGCGCCCGGCCATGACCTGGGATTATCTAGGCAAAAGGAGAGAGAAAATGGTCAAGTTATTCATGAATTAATAAAGACTCAAACTATTTATTAATAATTAATTAACAGATGTTACTTCTAAAGATCTATGGTTTGGATATGAAAGCCTGAAACAGGAGACTTCGAATCAGTTCCTCAAAGCCTCCAAGTTGTAATTTCTAAAAACTGTAGAAGAGAGTTTCTAGTTGGAATATTTTTTATTTTTAAAACTGATTGACAGATAAAACTGTATGTGTTTACCATGTACAACATGATGTTTTGAAGTACATAAACATTGTGGAATGACCAAATCTAGCTACTTAATATATGTGCTACCTCACATAGTTACAATTTGTTTAGTGAGAACACTTTACATCCACTCTCTAGCAATTTTCAGATATAGTTGACCCTTTAACAACAAAGGGATTAGGAGCACCAACCCCCCACACAGTCAAAAATTGGCATAGTTTTTACTCCCCGAAATTTAACTGTTGTTCACCAGACTCCTCACCGATAACAGTGAATTAACATATTTTTAATGTTATATGTGTTACATACTGTATTCTTACAATAAAAGAAGCTAAAGGTTATTACAAAAATCATAAGAGAAAATACATTGCAGTGCTGTACTGTATTTATTGATACCCTAAGTTTGTATCATTTTTTTTTTAATATATCATTTGTTTACAAGATGAATCATCTGTCTGAAATGGTGGGCAATTGTAGCTATAGATCTCGATCAGTTCCTACCAAGGAATTAAACTTCTTCTTATAAAGCCATAACTTTGCTTCTTGGGAGCACTTCCTACATCACTAATGGCACTTCATGTGGGTCCCAAAGGTATTACTCAAGGTTGACAGTATTGCACTAAACACTATGAAAAATACGCAAGCACTGCAAGAGATCACTTTTTACTGTGATATGCAATCTATTAGAAAGACAAATGCTCACATGGAGATGATTCCATTACACCAAGTTTTGCAGGTTTTTTTTTTTTGAGACAGGCCCTTGTTCTGTTGCACAGGCTGCAGTGCAGTGGTGCAATCACAGCGCATTGTAGCCTCAGCCTCCACTTGAGCGCACCAAAATAGCAACAGGTGGCAGCTACAAAAATTGTTACACTGGTAAATATGCACTATATTTAATTTTACACAGTTATGAGTTAATACTGTATCTTTACAGCTGTTTACATTTCTCATGACTGCAAATGGTGGAACCATGTAGTTTGAGTGTGTATATGTTTTGATAAATTTTAACTTTTTATCATAGATTTGTATATATTTTATGGTAGTAAATGATGAAATAGACTAGTATCTACATATATTTCATGCATTAATGACATACCTTTTCCTTAATTTTTTCACTATTTATAGACTGCGATTTGTCTGTGAGTTTTTTCATTGTTGCAAATCTCCAAAAATTTTCCGATATATTTATTTTTTTAAATTCATGTATAAATGTCGCCACCCAGTTAAAACCTGTGTTTTTCAAGGGTCAACTGCATTATTATAGTCATCACGTTACACAATAGACCTTTAGAACTTATTCTATCTAGCTGAAACTTTCTATCCATTGACCAACAACCTCCACCCCACCAGGCTACCCCACCCCCTAGTCTATAGTCTAGTTCTATGAGATCAACTTTTTTAGATTCCACATGTAAGTGGATCATGTGTTATTTCTTTCTGTGCCTGCCTTATTCACTTAGTATAATGTCCTCCAGGTTCATCCATGTTGACACAAAAGACAAGATTTCCTTTTTTGTAGCAGAATAATATTCCATTGTGTGTATATAGGATACATACAGTGTGTGTATATATATATATATACACACACACACACTCTAGTTGAAGCAATTTTAAAGTTAAGTCACTGTCCAAATATTTATAGAAGTATTTACAAGTTACTATGCCTTACTTTACAGCTTTTCTAAGTCATCAAACACACATTTTTATGAAACTGGAAGAAAATAATAACAACAATTTTTAAAATAGAAAATGATTTCACAAACTTTACCAAAATGTTCTAAAGATATGGTACTTGTTGGAAAAATAGTTCTTGGCAATGTAGAAGAAATGAGAGGAAGGACTTCTGTTTCAACATTCCAGGGTATAAAAGCAATTCTGAAAACATAATAAAAATATTTTTGTTTACATGGTTTAAAAAATTAAACCAGCAATCTAAAAGTATTAATTCTCTAAATCAGGTTAGCAATATTAAAATACAGTGCTTAAACGTTTTTTGCCCAAATAACTAAAAATGTAATTTCAAGGTTACTCCTTGTCTGAAGATAGCAATCAATTGGCTGCAATTCAGAAAAAAATCTTTAAAACTATGTTTTTCTGATAAATTCATGGCAAAGAAAAGACGAAAGCAACTTAACACAGACGTTTCTCTTTGAAATAATTTATGTAGTATTTTGACAAGATATTTTCTAGCTTTCATCATATTCTTCACTAGTCTAAAAAAATAAAATCAACTTTGAGGTGTAATTCAACATAAAAGGCACAGATTTTAAGAGTACATTTGGTAACTTTTGACCAAAGTGTGTACATATTATACTATAGGCGGGTCATATAGTAGTACATATACCGGCAAGAAAGCAAGAACAAACAACCGAGCCCCCTGTGTCTGTGTTAACCACTGCCCCAATCAAGAAAGAGAACGTTTCCACCCCTGCAGAAAGTATCCTCACACTCCTTTGTAATCCTTCTCCCTCCTTTCCAGGCAACCAAGGAACTGATTTATATCACTATGTTATATTCTAAAATTCCTCGACCTGGGAATGGCTCTTCAAAGTTCTCAGTGTCCCTAGAGATCTGCTAAGACTCCCTCCCCTTCAAATTTTCTCCATTCAAACCCAAACCACTTCTCAGCTTTTTTTTTTCTTACTCATTTAGGTCTCCTAACAAAAGACTATCTGATTCAGTATAAGGTGAGATTCTGGAGTAAGAGAAGAGAAGCATGGAGAAAAAAAAATGTAACTTGTACATGTATAAAAATATGTAACTATAAGGAAGGGTTTCATAGTACATACATCTGGACTTCTTCATTTGACTTCTATTATGTTCTGCCATCATTCCTAGAGGGTGAATGCCCTATACAGAACTATATTATAGTAACATATAAAATAAAGTCATAATATGTTATAGGAATTAACATAACACTCAGGCAGCGACCCTAATCTTAACTTAGGAGCTTGATTTAAGTATATATTACATATCTAGCACCATCTTAGTAGCTTCAGGACTAAACTAAGAAATAAAAAACGAGATTACAGAAAGTCATGAGTGTCGGGGTAGAGTAGGCACTTAATCAAATAGTTATTTAGAAGAACATTTTTGAGGAGAGGAATATGGTAAAAGTGTGATTCAGCTGACAGCATACAGGTAAGACTAGAACAGGAGAACAGTACTGGAATGGTGACAGATATATTACTAATAATAAATCTTAATATTCAGGTTCTCTCCCTTTTAAATAAATCTAGCATATACACAGCTATACTTGTTAAACAGATAAATTAAGGGTTCTTTACTTTCTAAGGGGTCCTTTATGTAACAATCTTTGTTGGGCATTTGAAACACCAAAGTTTAATTTGCACAAAACTTCCTTAGGAAAATAACAACTGAATAAGGTACCCCTGTATTTAAGTACTAATGCTATCTTGTTCACGTTAGCATGTAAACATCTGAGTAAATAATATTTTATTTTTACCTTCCAATTCCAGGTAATGTATCAGGAAACCATGACAATTCCAGTTCATGTCTCTTCTGCCTAATCAATGTACTGATTTCACTGGCTTCTATAAATTCTGTACTAAAAGATAAATTTTAGACCTTCATCAGAATCTCACAATTTTAGGTTCAAAAAAACAATTAGGTCGTACAAAGAATAGCAGCTGTTTTTGTACCTAGCATTATGAATCACACTTACCAGAATGTGAGCTTTTTTCTATTTAAACACTTTCAAAATAAACTCATTCCTAAAATAAGTACAATTTTCATATCGCAAATTAGAATTGTATTTATTTGTTAAAAATAACACTTGAATTTCTATCTTAAGTCACAGAATTTTTTAAATAAAGTCAAGTCAGAGTAATATCCTCATTATTGAAAGAAAGAAATTCTAGGTGCAATGGTTTCCTACTTGAAACTAAGCCTAAGACAAAAGAAGAAAATAAAGGAGGGTAAGATGACTGCAACCAAAAATGGGCATAGTTCAGCTTTTCAAAAGCCTACTTAGATATTTTGGTACCTTGCCAAGCTCTAAAATTAAATCACACAATCTTATTCTGTGCTGCTGGCTCAACTAACTATACGTGATTTTAAAGCCTCAATTTAATCTGCAAATTCCATAAATATCAACTTTGTATCTACATGCCAGTCACTAGGATTCAAAGATGAATGGATCAGCTCTAAAAGGGTTCTTCTTTAGGTAACATCCCCACAATCTAATAAATAACCTACTTTTCTATCATATATAGAGCTTATATAGAACAACTTATTAACGAAAACAAAGCACACTGGCATAGGCAATCATTGCACAATAGAGAAGCTCCCCAAATTAACAGGTTTTCTCTTGGCTAGAGCTACTTTACATTCCAAAAATTAAAAAAAAAAAAAAAAGAAAAAAACTAAAGCAAAAAAACCAAGGTGGGCCTTTCAGATTTTATTGGGCCTAGAGTTTAAATTTCTAGCAAAGTTAATAATTAAACATCAAGTATAAACAGCATAAATTAAAAGTAGAAAATACTAACCAATAAGCTCTATAGGAGGTAAAGGAAGATTCTCCAGGGTGACTAACAGAAGAAAACATATTGCAGAAAAAATTTCTGAAGCACTGATTTGTACTCCAATTTGATCTCTGAGGCTAGAAAAGTAAAAAGTAGTTAGTGAAACCGTAAATAAAAATATCTCTAATAGGTAAATAATAGTTATACTTAAATATTTTGATATACCTGAAGCACTGGTTATTTATGTACTAAATAACCCTAAAGTGTTATTATTTAAGAAAAAGATTTTTCTTGGTTTCAACAAACCTTATTTATCTTTATTGCTGCATTTTTCTCTCCTCCTGTTTCACTGTATAAAGAGTTTCCTGTACAAAGACATAAAAGGACTTGGTTACCTTGTATTAATTTTTATTAAAAAGGCTATAAACCAGCATTGATACCAGTATACTGCCAAGGGTTGAAATATGTAGAAAAGCTGCATTTCAAATAATACACATTTTTTACACAATTTTCCCAAATGCCGATTTCATCTTATCTTGTTAAGCTACAAATACAAGTAAAATATAAAAGGCCACAATAGAGAAAACTGGGTGAAGTATGTAAAACCTGCTATGTTTACAACATGTGAGTTAAAATTCTAATCATTTTCTGCCACCTTATGCAAACTTAAACTATCTTGTAACAAAAGGTATACACAAGAAGTCAAGCTATTTAATATCAATAATGCACTTAACATTTCTTTTCCAGCTATCATCTAGAAAACAGGTAGCTATATCAAGGTACAGGCTGACTAGGGGGCCTGGGGCCATCAACTCTTGTTAACCATAAATTACCGTTTAGCCACTGGCACCCACTTCAGGTGTGTTCTTTCCTTCAAATTTTATACTAAGAGGGAAAAGCAGACGTGTTGTCTGAAACAGCTTTTTGTTACAACAACGTTGGTGGCTTCACTGCTTACGACCTGTCTACAGTGCATATGACAACTGCCTTTTAATTTTCCCCCTTGCTTGCCTCACAAAGGGCCTATTGACATAGTTCAAAATAAATCACACTAACTAGGAGGCTTGTTTCCTGCACTGCAAGATCATATATATTTTGTTTTACTTCTGTTAGTCCAGTCGGTAATAGCCTACTTTCTACTTAATAGCATACTAATTTCCTTTTTAGTTATTATATAACAGCTGTTTGGTTTTGCACAAGTCCCTCTCAGAACTATTGTAACAAATGTAATTTCAATGTTAGTGGCAGGCGAACAGGCTGAGTTCTGGAACTTACTGCCTTACCCCTTTGAAAATCTGTATCTAAAAATCTGTATCTAAAAGATGATACGCTGATTTTTAAAATTGCTTATGAGGCAAGAAGTAAAAATGTGTGGTAGGTACATAGATACACTCTTAGAAATAACCATGTTCCTTCAGCTAGACATAGAATTGCTGTGCTATACCTACATAGTGTCTTTTATGCCCTAAGGATGCTGAGTTGTTTTGTTTCAGGTTGCGTTCACTCAACACTTAATGAGTATGTAGTGTTTACACAGCATTCTTTCACTTGGAAACCTATCTCAGAAAGCCTTCATTAGATAAAACGCTCTCTACTGAAAGAACTGTTAGTTTTCTGTGGGCAATGCTACATGGGAAAATCCAGTCCAAAAGCTATTTCACGTATTTCTGGGTAATTCTCAGATAATTACTGAGCAGCTTCAATGACAATCCCTCAAAGTATTCAATACTGGTGAATTTGTCTAAATTGTGGTTTCCTGAAGATCGTTTCACAAATCCACCCTACTTGCCTGTTTTTGGAGGGCAGTGATACACCTTTTCATTTAGTTTTTATCAAAGTAATGCATGTACATACTTTAAGGTGTCAAACAGTACTTCCAAATTTATAAAGAAAAATTATGGAAATACCTGCTCTTGATTTCCACTTCCCCAAAGCACTCATCAAATCTTTTGGCTGTTTCTTCTAACATTTACTTCTTTATTTCTAAATAACATCCTTATACTACTCTACTTTTTTTTTTTTTTGAGACAGAGTCTCGCTTTGTCGGCCAGGCTGGAGTGCAGTGGCACAATCTCAGCTCACTGCAACCTCCGCCTCCTGGGTTCAAGCAATTCTCCTGTCTCGGCCTCCTGAGTAGCTGGGACTACAGGTGCACACCACCACGCCTGGCTAATTTTGGTATTTTTAGTAGAGATGGGGTTTCAACATATTGGTCAGGCTGGTCTTGAACTCCTGACCTCAGGTGATCCACCCACCTCCGCCTCCCAAAGTGCTGGGATCACAGGCGTGAGCCACTGCGCCTAGCTGGCTTCAGACATTTTCCTAGGGTTAACAATGGCTTTGTTTTTTCTTTTGCTTTTCTTCCTTACTATCCACCATTAATTTAGCTAACTACAACAAAAGTATAAATCTGAGTTTAATACACTCAGTTACAACAACTCATTCATGAAGTCTGTTCCCCACTCTCCTTGCAAAACTCTTCCTTTGTCCTGGTCCAATATGAACTGGTAACTCTCAAAACTGCTGTTCAATAGTCATTCTGGGATTGTCCTTTGTCATTATCCTAATAATCCTCTTTGTCCTCTTTATCTTTTCCTGAGTTGGAACTCATTTTCTGAATCTCACATTGTTCTTCCATTTACTATCTCATTTAGTGAAGTATATACATCCTCCAGCAGAAGTGGAAAAGGGTGGGAATTCTGAGTTAATACATGATGGATAGTTTGATAGGTTACAGAATTTTCTAGGTTAGTAATCATTTTCCCTGGAGTTTTCAAGGCATTGCTTCACTGCTCCAACTATTGTTGATGACACTCTGTAACCCCAGTCCTCTATGTGGTCTGTTTTTACTCTCTCTCTCTTGTCATCCTCAGACTTCTAGAACTTTATGAAGTACCTGGTATAATTATTTTTTCATTTACTAGGGTATTATATTATTTCTTCATATCTGGACACCTGTGCTCTACTATTACAGAAAAATTCCCTTTGTATTACTTTTTAAAAAATAAATTTTTGCATTTTTCCTTTCTGCAATTTTATTATTTGATATTGAATCACTTAAATGAATATCCTATCATCTCTTTGACTTTAAGTACTACTTTCTGAGACTTATGAGCTTATCTTCTACTCCTGTTGAATTTTCATATTTTTGCTGTAATATTTTTAACTTCTAAAAGCTTTTTCTTAAATATTATTTTTCTTAAATCATTGATAAAACATCCCTTCTTTCAGGCTTTGAAGATATTAAATTTTTTAAAGTTATTCCCTATTTTCCAGCAATGGGTCTGTCCCATCAGGTTCCTTTTGTATCTGCTTTCATCTTTATTATATTGATTTCCCTCAAATATCTGGAGATCCTTGATTGTTGGTGGGACACTAAAATATTGATTGAAAATTATGTAGATGGGTGGTCAGAGCCTTTCAGCTGTTTCACTGTAGGGTGATCAAGCAGACATCTGGTTATTTCATTGGGAGACTCTCAAATGACATTATCTTTAAGTCTTTTCTTTTGGGCAAGTCAGTTTTCCAAAAGATGCCCCTTATCTCCTACTTTGGAAAATAATAATAATAAAGATTGCCAGTGCTTTGAAAAATGATCTTGGGTAGAGGACTAGAAGCCTCATCATTTGACTTAATTTCCCTCTCTGTTGTTTCCTGTACCATCATTTATGCTAAAGTTTAAATCTGGTTCAAATACTCATTTTAGAGAGTAAAAATCTCCAGTCTTTCATTGCATAGTCCCCTTGTTCTACCCTGTTCAGCCAGGAATCTTCAGGATCTAAAAATTTTTAATCAATTCTGTTTTCTGCAACCACCCCATATCTCTGCCTTCACAGATAATGGAGGCCTTCAAACTCAACTTTCTAAGGTTCAATGGTATGCGAACTGTCTTGAGATTCTTAACTCCATTCTCCTCGTGAAATGTCTATGTATCAGCTTTCTGCTAAGACAATTTACCATCCCCCTCATACCATTTTACTATTTTGTGGACACTTATGCGCTATCCCCTCCTCTCCAGCTTTCTTGTCTTTGTGGCTTAAACTTTGTGGCTTAAAACTTTTCTTTCCAGCCAGGCGCGGCGGCTCACGCCTGTAATCCCGGCATTCTGGGAGGCCGAGGTTGGTGGATCACCTGAGGTCAGGAGTTCGAGACCAGCCTGGCCAACATGGTGAAACCCTGTTCTACTAAAAATATCAAAATTAGCCAGGCATGGTGGTGGGCACCTATAATCCCAGCTACTCAGGAGGCTGAGGCAGGAGAATCGCTTGAACCCGGGAGGCGGAGGTTGCAGTGAGTCAAGATGGCGCCACAGCACTCCAGCCTGGGTGACAAGAGCGATACCCCATCTCAAAAAAAAAAAAAAAACACCCACACTTTTCTTTCATTCCTTTATTATCATTTTAGTAGAGATTTGGGATGAGAGGGATCAGAGCATTAAACAAGTACTCAATCTGCTATACTTAACTAGAAGTTTGTTTCATTTATTTTAATTCAGCATATCCCCAAATATGTTTCATGAAACACTAATCCCAAAGGATGTTTCACTAAAACATCCTTTTGTACAATATAAACAAGTATAATAAAGGCTCAGAGCTTAGAACCCAGTACTTGGCAGGCATCCAATTAAAGTTTGATTAACTGATTCCAAAGTTTAATAAAGACATACTTAGATGGATCTAGTATGTACTTAAAGAAGTACTACATTAAGAAATGCCTGAAAGGGAGATCCTTCTATAAACTATATCAATTATAAACTACTATCCCAAACCAAAGATTAATGTTCATTCCAAGAAACAAAGTGAATATAAAGGAGATTAAAAACAAAAAGGTATAATTCAGTTATCTAGTATGACAGAAGAAAGTGATATTTCCTCAACAAATTTGCTAATAGGTTTGCTGTCTAACCTTTCACAATACCTCTAGTGTGGCAACATCATCTTCATTATATGAGAAAACTAGACAGTTTATATAATTTTACTAAAGTCACAGGTGTTTTAATGGTAAAAAAACTGTACAAAACTCAAGGGGCTTGACTTCCAGTAAAACCATCTATTAGACCTGCTGAAGTTTTAACTAATATACTATATTTATAGGCTATAATAATTTCTAATCAAGATATAAGAATTCACAACTTCATAAGCTCTACTCATTAGTTTGATTACTGTATAACAAATGACTTCAGATAGAAAGTCACACACCTATGTTTAAAGAACAGTCCCATCCTGCTTCACAAAACTTGAAGAAATTAAAGAAGTTTGGCCAGGTGCAGTGGCTCACGCCTGTAATCCGAGCACTTTTGGAGGCCGAGACCAGCAGATCATCTGAGGTCAGGAGTTAGACTAGCCTGACCAACATGGTGAAACCC